TATTTTATAACGGTGAGTAGCGGAAAATGGAAAAAAGAAGAACGATTTTAAAGATGGATAGATAGGGAAGGAGAATGAGAGAGACAGGGAGATAGAAAATACGTTTAAATAGATAATGATGAATAGACAAAACTATTCAAAATAGACGAATAGCTTGTATATTTATATGAATTGAGCTACCCTTTTGTTAACCCGATTCCTTCTGATGATATTTAACTTTCGGCATTGCAGATGAATAAAGCGAAGGAGCAGCGCATGAGCCCCATGGGATCGTCGGGATCGTCGGGATCGTCGGGATCGTCGGGATCGAATTCGGTGCGTTCGCCGGCAACGCGCGAGCGTCGGGCCGTCGTGGAGAGCTACGAGGGCACCCAGCTGATGCCGGACGAAGCGATGCTGCCGATGCCGCCCCACAACATGGCCCGCAGTCCGAGTCTTCTGCTGCAGGATACGCGGCAATGGCTGAAACGCTGCCAGGGCCTGTTGCGCCTGCTCAAGCGCAGCGGCTAGGAGATATCCATTTCTAGTTTTATATTTTGCTGTTGTTTGTTTAGTTGGCCGTTGCCAGTTACCGTTACCGTTACATTCGTTAATTCCGTTGATTCCAGTTTCAGTTAGAAACAATCACATATACTACATGCATATATATTAGAGGTATATGCATTAGAACTAGCTATATCTCACGCTCTCACGCTGCTCTCATTCTGCTCTCGATCACTTGCGATTAAGTAATTTATACATGGGCTCCCAAGCCTCAAGTCAAAGCTATCAGGAATCGATCAACTCCATCGATCCAATTCACACTAAATGCTCTGCCCCCCGATGACACGAAAGTACTTCTATGACTGCTGATGCGATATTTGATTTGAACCAAAATTTGAAGTTTCTATGCAAATGATATGAAAAATATGATTGGAGTATTAAATTCAAAGTTTATTGAACAGTCTTCAAATGTTGTATTGATTTATTGGGAAATAACGGTTGCTTACATAATGAATTGATTGATTGATCTACCGAGGTAAGTTGGGTACTATTGAAAGATCTTTCAACTACACCAGCCGGTCCCCGTTTCTATTCATAGCTGGTCAAAACTATTCCAAATAACCCTACACATATTTCCATATATAGCGCATTTATAGGATAACTAAGAGTCGTGCAGACACTTGCTGGCCTTTGTCTCTTCTTGGCCTGCTGCAGCGGCTGCACATTTCGACCATGGCGTTACATTAACAAAGGATTGCCACACCACAGACGCCGAGAGCAATTTAAATGTATTAAGGGTCGCTGTCGAGCTGCACAACAGCTGCCCAAATCACAAAAGGCCCCTCTCAGCAGCAACAGCAACAACAGCAACAACAGCAACAACAACAACAACCACATGGTAATGGCAACATTAAAATAAGTTTTAAAAACTAAGCAGCGCGGCTTATGCCACGTCTCAAAGCGAACAAACGGGGAAAAAAGTGCAGCCACAACATTTGGAATATAAATTTCGTAAAACAAATCTCAGGCGCAGCTTCCCCAAGGCACAAGCGGGCCAGGGCTGTCGCACGTGCAGGGCTGCCAATCTGCTATCTGCTATCTGCTATCCTATCCCATGTCTTATGTCTACTATCGACTATCCTATCTTATATCTTTCTCTTTCTCTTATCTCTTTCTTCGCTTGTCTGCTGGTATCTTCTCTTTTCTCTCTGCTTTCTCTCTATTTTATTGCAAATCTTTGATATTCTCTTTCTTTATCCCTCTTTCTCTCTATTTGTCTTTAACTCACTCTCTGTCTCTCTGAAGAGGGGAGACTCTTGATTCTTTTTTAATTCTTCACTCTCCTCCGCTCACTCTCATTTCATTCACTCTTCAATCTTCTTCTTCTCCACTCTCCATACTCCACTTTTCCCTTTGGCCTCTCTCTTCTCAACTATCTCTTCTCTCTCCTCTCATCACACCCTTACCTCCTTTCCCTCCCCCACTCATCTCTACCCTACTTGCCCTTTCCTCTCTTATCACTCCTCTCAGCACTCCCCTCTCCTTTCCTCCTCTCCCATTCCCTATCCCCACTCTCCAGTCTTCCTTCTTTCTTCTCTCTCCTCTATAATTTCCCCTCCCTCCCTATATATATCTTCACTCTCTCGCTATCCCTCTCTCCTCTCTCCTCTCCACTCCCGCACATACCCCAAACCCCCTCCATGGTCCCCAAAGTGCATTTTGCAACGCTTTTTTTGGAATGAGGCCTAAACTTTATTCTATTTATTTTTATTTTTTCGCTTAGGTCACATCTTGTTGCTGCTGCTCCTGCTCCTGCTGCTGCTGCTGCTCCTGCTCCTGCTGGCCCACCCACCTGACCCCAGCCACTGACAACCGTCAAAATATAATTTTTGCGTGGATTTGCTTCTGCAACACAACAGCAACAACTGCAACAGCAGAAGCAACAATAATAAATGTTCCAAAAAATAAAATAAAACCAGAAAATAGAAAATTTTTTACCACTTTTACAACTGCTGCTGCCGCTGCTGCCGCTGCTGCTTATCGCAACGCTGACTGAGTAGCACATTAATGTGGCCTATGTGACTGGAGCTGTGATAGGAGAGGGGGGTGTGGGGCAGCGGGACTGGGGCTAGGGCTGTGGGGCAACAGTTGCCAGCGCATTGCATGTCCTACTGTGAGACATAATTTTTAATAATCTACAACACGACCGGGTTGAAAAGCGACAGCGCTGCGGCCCTTGGCAGAGCCCCTCTGCCCCGAAAATACGCGCATGCAAATGGCTTAATTTAATATATAATTATACCCTGTAAATGGGGATGGATAAGAGATCGGGTGTTTTATTGATCCCCTGAAATCTCAAGCATTTGCCGTATGCCAGTGAGCAAGGCACATCTGAATGGTAACTTAACATGCAATTTAACATGCGAATCAGTCATTTACAACGTCTTTGTATAGTCTAAGTCAAGTTTTGGATACTCTAGATATACAAAGATATATAAAATAGTTTGGGATTATAAAATGCTCAACAATTCATTTGAATAAATTCATATTTCCAATCAAATTTGTAGTAGATAACATTTAACATGAGCATAAGTGCCTGGCAAATATGCAGCTCGTTTTTGTGCTTTAATTTTAAATAGTGTATACTAATCTTATATATATACTTATATATATACTTAATAAATGGTATATTTTATTCAATTTCTATTCAAGCTATTGCCCATGTTCCTTCTCATTTCATATGCTTACAATGCAGTTAAAGTGCTTGTTAAGTTTTGCCAAGCGAGCTAAGCATAGACAAAATGTTGATCTAATAAAACTTAGGGTTTCTATGGAAATTTACGGTAGACGGAAATTAACATGAAGATAAGTGCCTGGTAAATACTGTATATAGCCAGTTATGTAAGCTAATATCTAAGATTGCATTCTCATGTATATATTTGCCATGCAGTTAAAGTGCCTGACAGCTTTCACCAAACACTTTTCCAATTTTGTTCTCATTGTATTTATTTACCATGCAGTCAAAGTGCCTGTTAACTATTTTGTAGGATCCATGTAGAATCCTTGCCTTGCAGTTAAAGTGCCTGACAGCTTTACCATGCAGTTGGCTCAAGATAACTACAACTGCAAGTCGCATATACCCGAGGTTGGTAATGAGACGACGCCAACTGCCTTGTATCTGGCACTTTGGCTCGCGAAGGTGCCAAGGATAATGTGGATATGTATAGGTGTGCTATATGGGCAGATTGTCTTGCCTAAGCCAGAGATTGATGCTGCTTCGCACAGCCGCCAACCACCGACCGCCAACCACCGACCCTCGACCGCCCTCGCAATCCCGCAGCTGTAATTAAATTATCATGCGAGCTACGTAAAGCTGCCTACTTTTAGGCTGAGACATTGTCGCCTGCATATGTAAAGATGCTGCACGGACGACAGTGGGCGCACCCGCAGCCCCGCCCACTCTCTCTCCCTCTCTCTCGCTCTCTTCTGGCAGCTGCGGTCCTGCTCTACTGAATGTTGTAATTCAAACGACAGCAACGGGTTAACATTAGCGCACTTTTTATGGCCATGCGTTGGATAAGTGCTCCTCGTTGTAGACCAGCTCGTTGTTGTTGTTGTTGTTGTTGTTGTTGTTGTTGTTGCTGCTGCTGCTGTTGTCGCATCTCTATGATTAGCACTGAAATTTATGCCAGCCGCAAAAGGCATTTGCGACAGCAACAACTGCAGCGCACTTTGTTAGCCACGCCCACTCTCTCGCCCACGACATCTAGAGCTTCGCATAATATATTTGAGTATCAAAATATTTAAAACTGCATGTAATGCAAGCTAAAAATCAGTTGGATAAACATACATCATAGATAAGTAAGAGTCTCGGAACGATCGCTGCTAGCTAGAGTATCGCCTCTCTCTGCGAATTTCATGGTTCTTTGCGATAACTTAGCTGACATCAAAACAAAGTGAAATGAGGTGGAAAATATTCGAATTTCTGATTTAGACTAAAGGTGATAAATTACTTCAGCTTGCCAAATATGCTTATCGATTATTGTTTCGCACCCTCTCTCTCGCTCCCCGCTCTCTCTCTCTCTCTCTCTCTCTCTCTCTCTCTCTAGTTCTCTTCCTTCTCTTCCCTAATCTTCCTTCTTACAATTTGTTTCTTTTAATTTCCTTCTTGCTGCCTGACCTTTCCTAGCCCTCTCTATCTCGCTTTCACTCTGTCTCGATTTTCCATTTCTCTAAATATTTATTACATATATACAAATTCTCTAAAAAGAACTTGCCTTAACTACGCTTTCACTGCTCTTCATAATTTCCACACTCCCTATCTCTTTCTTTCTCCCTATTTTCTACTTAATATCCCTCTCTCTATCTCATTCTATCATGATCCTTCTCCCTCTCTCTCTGTCTCCTTTCTGTCTGTCTCTCTCGCTCTCATTCTCTCTTTCTGTCTGTCTCTCTCCCTCTCTCCCTCTGTCTCACACTCTCTGTGTCTGTCTTTCTATCTTTGACTCTGTCTCTCTCTCCTTTTCTTCAACCTTCTCTCCATATATAGCCTTTTAGCTCTCTCTGTATCTTTCTTTAATCTGCCCCTCCTTCCTTCTTTTTTACTCTCTCTGTCCCTCTCTTTCTTACATCATCTATTAACTTAACAGCTTTTCATAAAATTTATTTCCAATTTCAAACTTGAAGTTAGTTCTCATTTTATAACAACTCCAACCTCTAAATAAATAAATAAAACAAAAAAAAATTCCAATTTGGAATTTCGTCAAGATAGCGGCGCACTTAGCGGTCAGTTGTGGGTTGTATGTCAATTTGGCTTGGGTTATTTTTTGTGCTTCTTCTTCTCGACTTTTTTTTTTTTTTTTTTTTTTTGAGGCAGCAGCAGCAGCAGTGGAGGCAGCATCTGTGTGGACCAAATGTGGACTTAGGACGTGCTTTTAATTTTTAAAAACTGCTTTTAAAACGTGATAAAACACGTTGAAGCTGCAAATAGTTGTAAAAGACACACAGAAAACATTCTACTATATACATACATACATATATACATATACATATTGTATATTTATATATGCAGCGATATATATGTATGTATATATATACATATATATCGCTGCAAATCCCCAGCCGCTGATGAGTGACAGAGAGGGCTATATGGGGAAGCAGTGTAAGTGCTGGACAGCAAAGGCAAGGAGAAAAAAAAATGTGTAAAGCGTGCATTTACATAATGAAAGATGTGGCAATATGTGACAGCATGTGTGTGCGTGTGTGTGTCCGTCCGAGTTCGGCTGGGGATAAGCAGCAAACGGGACATCATGTGCGTGGCTGCTTTTTTTCCCATATGCAAGGCGAAGCGCGAAGCAGTGGAGGACAAACGAACGAAAAAAAATGAAATTATAAAATATTGAGGCGAGTAAGAAATGCACAGAGCAGACACACACAAACACACACATGTAACATATACAAGCAGTGGTCGCCGTTTGACTGCTTGCCCCGCACTGCTTGCCGACTGTGGGTCCATGTAGATGGCGCTGTGAACCACATACAGAATTAATGTCCTTTTAGATACAAATGCAATTTAGAAGTGTGTGTATATGTGTGTGTGTGGGTGTGCGAGACGCCCTCAAAAAATGCTTTCACATGGTCAGCTCAGCATCTTTTACTCCACTTCCTTCTTCTGCTTCGACTCCCACTGTTTTTTTTTTTGCTACATAATTTTGAATAACATTAAAATTATTAGCTACAAATGCAAAAAAAGCAAGAAAAAAATTGCAAAAAATGGGGCGTGGCATGGCAACAAATGTGCATAATGAGCTACGGTCGGACCAGGCTGGCAGCAAGAGCTGCGAGTGGAGGCAGTACGGAACGGGGCGTGGCAGGGTAAGTCGGTGTCTACGCCGAGATTTACGCGCGACACATTTTTTATTTCTGTTCTTTTTTTTTAGGGCTAAACACTTTTCAGTTGATATCGCAAATCCTTTTTTACAGCGCTTACATAATGATATGTGGGCAACGGCTTTTTTCCCCAAAGTCCAGCTGCTGCGGTCTGCGCGGGCGGAGCAGGAGGCGGGCAGGGGAAGGCAGGCGGAGGCAGGTGGCAGCTGGCATTTGCATGCAATTTGCGTGATGGAAGGTGAGGGGAGGGGGAGAGAGGCGACCATGATAGAGCTGATAAGAAACCGGAGCGAAGCCTGAAACTAAGCGGAACTGTCCGTCCGTCCAGCTGGAGGAATCGCGCACAAAAAACCCGATGACTAAAAATGTTGCTAGTTCACTTCAAGGCTCAGCCTCAGCGTAAGCCTCAGTGCTTCCCTATAGAGGCTTCAATTTAAATTTCTTTCAGTGTTCATATTAACCTTTTTTTTAGATACATATTTAATGATGTTTAAGTTTAATTAATTATATCTTACTTAGCTGTGCACTTGTTCATCCTTAAATAAAATTCTTTATCTATTTCAGCCTTATATCTCTCAAGGGTCAGTCGAATATGGGCAGCTCTGTATTTATATACGTATCTTTAAAAATATACATACATATATATTACACTAAGAAAAATTCAACAATGATTTCTGTCTCTGGAGTCTTATTTGGTCAACCTGCAGCACATCAATAAATTCAGATTTCTACTTCAATTTACTTTACTTCCTAATTCGCCGCTCTATGCGACTCTCATTATTTGCACCCGAAGCCTTCTTCTCTATCCTCAATTCTCTATTTTCACGACGATTGCAAGAGAAGACATAGAGAAATGATCGATAGTTATTTCCAAGCTGTTCTTTTGTTCAATTGCCTCTCTATGCAGTTTTCACGATACTCATCTGAAGTTATGAGTTGATTTTTCCCACTCAGCCCTCTATGCGATTCACACTATTACCAGATGAAGCTTAAACTTGACTTCTTTTCAATTTTCTGCCTAGAGAGCTACACGATCGGCAGCCTCTCTACGTGCTTCTCACTGGACTTATTTGACAATCGATTATTCCAATCAGTTTTATGCTACATCTTTATTAAATCATGTTCTCTGCACTTGCCTTAACTCTAATTTTATGATTTCTCTTATTTAATTAATTTTCTCACTTTTATTTTGTTTATTTATAATTTTTCAATATTCAAAGAAAAAAAATTCCAAAATTTATTTATTTCCAAAATTTATTCAATAATAAAATCAGACATAAATATGCGATTTAGATAACATTCAAATATCAACGAAAGCACAAAAGACACGAATCAATGCCATCTCGATTAATACGAATATGATAGGGTATCCACTAGTCGAGTACGCTCATAGGTGTATAGGTATTTCCATATAAACATATAGCTTTATATGATGTGATTGTAAACCGCCAGACTTTATAGCTCATTGCAAGAAGTATACTCATGTTAAACTGCTTAACATTAATTTAACCTAGCAATAAGAAACAAAAATTATATCCATATCAAATTTATCTGCATTGTAAAGTTAATGTTAGGATTTAGTTTATAGTCTTGTCAGCTCCTTGTAAAATGAAGCTGTTAATAAATTTATCAATTTATCAATGTTAAGTTGATCAATGCTCATGTTAGATTTGTCAACTCTATATCCAGCTTAATTGTAAAATTAGTCTGCCTTCAGCTTATTAAATGCATATAAATAACCTGATGTTAAATTTCTTAACTCTGCTAAATGTAATCTCCATATAACTTACTAGCTCTATATTCAAACCCCAGCATAACTGTAAACCTAATGTCAAATGTGGTCAGCACTTTTAGAACCTGTTTAAAATTCTTTTTCTTTGATTTGGGTTTCTCAAAAATTTCATGTCTCTGATTTTGAATATTGGAATTTGACTTCTCTAATTACAATCTGGTTTGTCTGGCAGATAAATTACACTTACTATTAAGATTTTAGTATTTTTTTTTGTTTTTTATTATTATTTTTACATGTGTATATATCAATTGTAGTACATTGTATAATCTAAAAAAAAAAAAAACATTTGCTTTGACTTCTCTTTGCTCTCACAATGGCAATGAAGTTGTTGGCTTAGTTTTACGCTTGCGTCGCTTGCGCGCCTTGCGGCGCAGCCGATCGAATTCTCTGATGTGCTTAACAATGAAATGCTTCAGATCCTCGCCCTCGACTTGACGGCAGGACATTGTGAATAGTATAAGCGAATTAATATAGAAAAAAAATCTTATATCATAATTATGCATATTAGAATTGGGGCTCTGCTTGCCGTGCTGCTCCCTCCTCCCCTGGTGGCTTTCACTCTTTTGCTGATTGTTGTTGTAGTTGTTGTTGTTGTTGTTGTGGTGATTGTGATTGTAATGATTGTGTTTGCGCACCTTTGGCGAGGGCGGAGGCACATCCTCATCGCTGTCCGTCGAATAGCGACGATTGCGTTTGCCGGCCGCATTGAAATGTTGGCGTAAATAATCATAAATGCTCATATTTCTAATTGTGATCAAATTGATGGTGTTGGCATTGGGATTGATGTTGATGTTGGTTTTGTTGATGTCGCTGTTGCAGTTGTTGCTTGTGATGTTGTTGTTGTTAATGATCTTGTTGTTAGTTTTGTTAATGTCGCTTGTCGTTTGCCTTGTGAATGGTCCCGATTTATGCAGCGCCACATGCTGTAGATATGGCCAACTGCCGCACGCCAACTGCGCGCGTGTTGGAATCGTTGTTGATGTTGTTGTTGGCAGCATTGGCTCGGTTTTGTTGTTTGCATAGCGAACATAATGTTGATCTACAGCAGTGACTGCAACGCGTCAATGATCAGCAATCAGCGGGCCCCAGAACATTTTCGATATTTTGGTTTCATCTTCGGTTAAAAAGAATTGACGACCCAAGTGTACAAACTCCTTGAGCGACACCTGGCCATCGCCATTCTTGTCTATCACAGCGAATGAAATGGCAGCATCCTCTTCAGATAGTCCCAGACAGCGGAAGAAGAGCTTATATTGTTCGAGATCCAAATGGCCAGTGTGATCGAAGTCAACGGCCTGCAAATGCAATAGCAAATGTTAATTAAATAACTTCATTAACCGAGTTTTGTTCATCAACGTTTTTACCTTAAACAAATAGGGCAAAAAGCGACCAATGCGCTTAGCCATTTTCTTGTCGTTCAGTCGATGATGCAAATCGGTTAGGAACTGCTCGGCAGTCACTAGATTATATGGGGTTATCTCGCCGAATTGCTCCTCCCAAGTCTGTTTGATCACCTCGTTGAATTCTTCGGCCATCTCGTCTGACAAATGGCCCAAATCGCTGAAGCGTTTCGCCAACAGCTTAAAATCATCGTACGAGATGACGCCATCGTGATTGACATCCATGATGCGATGCAGGGTGCGCATTTTGCGGCGCCAGAACTCAGAATCGCCCTAAACAAAACAATAATAAAATACAAAATTAATTCATTTCAAATTCAATTCAAATTCAAAATATAACTGCCGATGCTCGGTTGCTTGCGTGCACTGCTTTGTATTCAAACACGCCCACTGTTAGAAGTTTAACAGCAGCCGAGACCACAACCTTGCACTGCTTACGTGTCTGCGCCTGCGTCACGCACGACTGCGGCGCAGCCGTCGAGAGTTCAAAATTCGACATTGAGCCAAAATCAACTTTCGAGCTTAGAAAACACGTTTCCCACCCAAGCACACACACACACACACGCAAGCAATGAGTATACCAGTTTTAGCCACGTGGCTGGCTTGCTTACCCGTTCGCTATGCTTCACATTGGCATTTCTGCGACGTCGCTCGAACTCGTCATCCGAATCGGAATCCGAGTCGCTGTCCTGGCGGCGCATAGTGGCTGCTCCAGCAGCTTTCTTTGAATATAGGCGCACATTCTGCAGTGCTGTTGCTGGACGGTAGACAAGACTCCATGCACCATGTGCTGAACCAGACACCATGCGCTGCAAATGATAACAAATAAAGAGATAAAATTCCATTAGTTTTTATTGTTACAGTTTTGATGTCATTGTTGCATTTCAACTGCTTGTTTTTGTTGTGCAACACCAACGCACTGCTTGCCTACTCCATTTCGAATTCTCTGTGTTTGGAGAGAAAACAACAAAACACGCACATAAATCAACGCTGTTAATGTTGTTTACTGTTGCATTAACAGCCAACAGTTACACAATTTTTGGCGCTCACGCAGCGTCACGCCCTTCAGCTTATATGTATATGTATATGTAAGCACTTACATATAAATAAATAATATGCTCTTAATTATGTTATTTTTGTTATTGTTTTGCTTTGTTTACTATTTTGTTAAGGTCAGTTCTAGATTCTTGTCGTGGACCGGTTTTCACCGCAGCTAACAGCGACCCTGAGACCCTTAAATAGTTGTCGAGTTTTGACAGTCACTGACGGCTCAAGTCTCCCCACGTGGTGCACAGTGCATTTTCAACTATGGCTTTGTCTCCCCTTGACCTTGTGCGTCTTAGCACCAAGAGCTAGAGTAGGACAGATGCACGCAGATCAACTGCATGCTCACGCACACACACATTATTTGTACATGGCTGATTACAACATTGAATCTGTTGAGCGTCTCTATGTGTGTGTGAGCATTTTAATGAGTTTTCGAATCTGTTAAGGCTTGTTGACAGTTTTTTTTTTTTTTTTTATTGAAGATAACTGTATGCAACGTTTCTATTGTTTGTTTTTTTTTTCTTTCTTTCCCTTCTGCTCTTTTGTTTTTAATTACAAGCAACAAAACTTGTCAACAACTACAAGTAGCTCGAAAGTTTGTTGATAATGGATATTGTAGCTCGTCTCGTTATGATAATCATGATGACATCATTAATATTGAACAAAAATAGTTGAAATTGGAATATCGAATAAATTTAGCCTATTTCTAGCACACACACACGCCTTAATATATTTAAGCGTGTGCAAGACACGAGAAAAAAACAAGCTCACAAATAATATTTAATATATGCCGAAAAGTAGCACAAAGCGCACATCGCTAGCCAACAATAATGCGAAAATGGAGAGAATGAAGCTAGCAGCGCACAATTGGTTCCTGCAGTGGCTAGAACAGCGGAAATGGGTTTGTGACACGGCTAAGCGCAACTATCGCCGCACGCAACGCATTGGTAGACTTAGCTGGCCGCGATTTCCGTTTCGCTAGGTAAACGGTAAACATAAAACAGCAGCCGTTTGCTATTTGTTTTTTTTTTGTTATTGTTATTTGGCGCTTTGCGCATGCTTTTGTTGACAGAATTTGCGCAGTTCGCCAAGTCGCCCTATTTTTTTCTATTTCTTTTTTGGGGATGGTTTGAAAGTTGCCTTCACTCAGCGGCGAATTTGAGTAGCTGTTGTTGTTTTTTTGTTTTTCTGTTCGTGCATTGAAAGATATGCGTCTTTGGCAGTATTGATTGCTGTTGTAGTAGTAGTAGTACTAAGGGGAGGGAATAGTGTTCGGAAACTATTGACAATTATACAAATATACATATATATGTATGTATGTATACATAGTGATCTATATGTACTATATGTACATAAATAAATARAATGCATTATCTTCGTCTTAGCTGTGCCACGCTTACAATTTGCTTCTCAAAGCGAACTTTCTATGCCATCTCTGTCGCACACATGGTGGCCTCATTTTCTTGTAACTATAACAGATGCCCCTTCCCTTCTCGCTTGCTCATCCGCTCTTTTGATAAATTAATTTAACTAATACAAATGCACAGAAACACAGAGAGAGAGAGAGAAAGAGAGAGGACATATACAAACGCTTACATTGTTGTTGCAATCGCTTGTTGGAAAGGTGGAAAGGGGCTGGTGCTGCTGCTGCTGCAGTGCGCCCACCGTTGCGGCCATATTGCGTTCCAGGATTTCTCTCGAAGTACGCAATAGACTGCGGCTTACAATGGAGAGGGCCATGTTTAGTGTTGGTTTTGTTATTGTTGTCGCTGGTATTTTGTGTATCGATCCCAACTTAACGGTTAAATTGAGTATTTAAACTCTCTTTTATTTGTTTGCTCCTCTTTTTTGCTGTTATCCCCTGTATCAGGCAAGCGAAAAAGAATGTGCAAGCTGACGGCGTTGCTTTGCTGCAGGTATTGTTGTTATTTTTGTTGTTTTACAGTTGATTGTTGCAGTAGCAGCGCGCATTTAACAACCGGTTTAAAAGTCACAGTTTTTAAAAATGTTTTTCTTTAAAAAAAAGTTGCACTTTTGTTTGCTTTTGCGTATTACACTTTTCTGCTCCTCTTCAACTTCTTATTCGTCTTCTTGTTTTTCTTGAACTTCTTTGATTTCTTTCCGTTCAACACAACCGTTCGCTGGCGCGTTCAAAATCGTTTTGACACCGACTGTTGCGGCGAAAAGAAATGAAAACAACGGCGACGGCGACGGCAACTCTGTACCAGAAGCGGCTTTGTGTGTATGCGTGTTTGCGTGTAAGAGCAACGTGCGTTTGTGTGTATGTAAAATTTGGAGTGCGAGCATAGAAGGGCAACGCAGCGATGTTACCAGAAAAACAACACACATACAGACACATATTTGAGACAGCGCGGTAATATTGAAAACAACGTCAACAGATGTTACAGGCCGGTCAGTGACTTGTAAACCGCGTTATATATTTATTTTGTAACTATATTATAAATGCATGTTTTAATCTATTGAATAAAGAGAAATTTAACTAATGCATGCATTTTTTTCATAGATATGCTCGTATGCACGTAAATTTACGGTAGTTTGTATGCTTATTGATAAAGTAAACGAAAACTTACATATTGAGGTCGATGTGACAGACTGTTTGCTGAGCGAACGAGCCAGACATACATACATACATGCATATATTTACACACATACACACATTCATGTAAGCGCCAGCGGCCGAACGGTCGAGCGAGTTTTCTGTTTTTGTTCTACTTCTACTTCATTGCCTCACGAGCACATACTTGTATATTTACCACACAGACAGCGTGTATGTGTGTACACATGCTTGCATGTATGTATGTATGTAGGCATGAGCTTGTGTTATATAATTGGATTTGCTCAAAATATAATGGGTTCTCTTTGCTCTTCACACTCTAACAGCGATCCTGCAGGAGCACTATAGCCCGAAAAAATAAATAAATAAACAGTAAACAGGAGAAACAGTAGAGGGACGGAAGAAGAGTTCTCAAAAATGATCAGCTGTTCTGCATCAGCTGTTATCCATGCAAATACACACACATATGTACATATGCATGTGTTAACATGTTGTACATGCAGATGCACATACATGTATGTGTGTACATATGTATGTTTTGCCATACTAGCAAATGTGCAACAAGTACAAGTTGCCTTGGACTGCAACCAGTCTCCAGAAGCGCCATTTATGTACGACTTTTTGCTGTTTAGTGGGAGTGCAATGCACTCTATCTTCAATTCCAATATTAGTGTATGTGTGTACATGTATGTATGTCTGCATGTGAACGTGTACAAGAACAACGCGCGCATCGGCATCGGCTGACTTCCAAATCGTCACGTAACGTTTTAAGCGCCGGCGAATGCAGTCAATTTACATGAGACGACAACAGGTTAAGGAGACTGCTTTAGTTACCTTGCAATGTGCATTGTGTGCCTATAATGTAGGTGTGAATGTTTAATTATATACATAGATAAAACGTAAACAACTTTCAATGCTCTCACAGAGCTTGGCACACGCCGATGTTTACGTTAAGCTGCGTATGCCGATAGAAAGTTCGATAAAAGTTTTTGTATTTGCAAATCATATAATGCTTAATAGATAAACTTTGCAGTAAAAGTCGATGGTTACATACATACATACGTACGTATGTACATATATACATGATAGACATGTATATATGTACATACGTACGTATTACGCTTGTCATTAGAGTACAATGCTCTGAATAAGATATATGTATGTATGTTTTCTGATATTCGTGATCAGCATACTAGCTTCTTTACGCTCTTTACGTCACAGGCGTAAGTCTGGAATTGCCAAAAAAAAGAAGGCGTAATTACAAACCACATCTGCATGTTAAGTAACAGCAGATGAAAATAAAATATGGCGGGCTTTGGTGTAAGAAGTGAAGTGTTTTCATACATACATACATTTGCATACATATGTAGATATACATATGTATATATATTTATATACTTATTATTTACATACATATGTATGTATGTATATATAATATACAATTGCTTGTCTCACATGTTGATCTGCGACCGGCTTATATTAAATGGCAAAGTATTGTGAACATAATTATGTATGTTTATATAAGTGTGTATATATAGTTACATTAATAGTATATTTATATGTATGTACATATGTATATTTCTGAGCACACACGCGACGTGTGTAATTGTAATTGTAAGTTTAATCGCTTTTTCAGTCGTTGATGCGTGGCGGGAACCTGAAACACATACATACTTACATATGTATGTATACATACCCATACTTATGTAAGCATGTGTGTACTGTTTAGAAGCTCTGTTGTTTTCGTTCTGTCTTTTGCTTTAACATCTGTTGTTGTTTTCTTCTTCTTTTTTTTTTTGGTGTTGGTTTTTTTTTTTTGCGCTGCTTAAGCGTTTGGCGGTTTTGTCAAGGTTTTCTTTTTCGTCTGTTCGAGATTTCCGCAACGCCATTTAGCTTTTGGCGTACGTGTTGGGCCTCATTGTCGTCTGCCGGCTCCACAGCAACAACACCGACAACAACATAAGAGCTGTTTTGATACTCGTATTTTCAATTTCATTAATACTGCCCTGTGCATTCGCATTGAGAGTTAATTTCCATGCAACATGGGAGAGTGATGCGGTTTTCGTATGCGGATTTTGGCACGTCAGCACTGTTATCTCTGAGAGCATGGGAGACTGTCAAAGCGGGGGATCTATATATGGGTGTGTATATGTATGTATGTATGTATATATGTAGATGTCTTTTTTGTAATGCTTTCTGATTTGAGAATAAAATGACACAAAATTAAGTGTGTTGAGTGTGTGTGCGTGACTGCATGTGAATGCGTGTATTTCTTTAGACATGCATGTGTTCATGTGCTGAGTTTGGTGGCGTTGCCACAGTTCCACAAAGCCTACGTGCGGCATGCAACGTATCCTTTTTGTTGGCCTAGGTTCAAGTGGAAGGCAAATGCACTTAAATATTGCCATTAATACATGTACATACATGTCCATTCATGTATGTATGTATGTATATGCTTGCATTTATTTGTAAGTATATTCACAGTAATTCATGGACAGACAAAATCAAGCGCCTTATCAGCGACCTGCTTGTGCTATTTTTCATTTATTATTTTTGTTTATTGTTGTTACAATTGATAAAAAAAAAAAAAAAAACCAAAAACAACTGCAGCGGACATTTCGTCCATCATTAATTTGAAAGTGCGGGCGCTTTGTATGTAAAGATTAGGCCGAAAAATAAACACAAAATTAACGAGGGCCGTGTGTCAAGTTCTTGGCTATTTAAGCACGTGATATCGAATGATCTCTATCGTTCTAGAAAGCTTTGTCTACTAAAGAAGTATTGAGATAAATGAGAATTGTTTAGACTTTTGAATATTCATCTACCTTGAGCTGCTTCTGTTTCTGGTTAAAATATGTATATAATGACATATTTATATTAATAATATTCTTATCGGTATAGATTTATCGTATGCCCCAAGGCATTGGCGAACTCCCAGAACGGCCCTCGCCGAAAAAAAGTCACAAACAGATTTGGAAATAGCTTCGATGAATTGGGTAAATAAGAAACCAAACTGGTAAACAAAGTTTTTAATTTATTTGTATCTTTTTCTTTTTTTTTTTTTTTTAATTTGTTTGCGAGTGTATTTTGCCGTTCGTTTTAAGTTGCCAAAGTTCAAGATGTTTTTTTGGTCTTTGTTTTTTGCATCGATCCAAGTCCAAGTTTGAAGCAAAATAGATTTGGAATAATTAGCTAGTGAATTAATAGAACTTAAAATTGATCGCTTAACAGTTATAATTATGCAAAGATCAATTGGCCTTGTAGAGCAGCAACAACAAAACAAACAAAGCAAGAGAAATCAAAACATTTCAAATCCATAAACAGCAAAAAACAGCGATGCACAATAATACATACAAACTTACGGCTGTGCATGTGTACGCCTCGCTGTCTGTCTCTCTCTCTTATTTTGTCTGCGGGTGTACTCATGTATGTGTGTGTTGGTGGTATTACTTTAGCTGTAATCCACACCAGAAGGGCGCATCATGGCTGCCCTGACAGACAGCGATGCTTGCTTTCTACAAGTCACGCACGAAGAGATGAACTCTTTATTTTGTAATATTTGTATCACATATAGTACATATTTAAATAATTAAGCAATAATATAAATATTACGATATATTTGTTAGTACTCGTATACCATATACATATAATAGATAGTCATATTTTACGCTTCAATTCATCATTCAATTATTCATTATGTAGAGCATTCACTGTGCCATATGTGCTGTTTACCCCTTCCCCATGTTGGTCAAGTGCTAAGTGGTAAACAGCAATTCGACGCTTTGCCTGGGCCTTCGGCAGCACTTTTGTAAATTTATGGCTATTTTTAGGTGAAAATACGATTCGCTTTATCTCTTAACGAAAATAAGTTATTTGTAACTTCAGCGACGTTGAAGCCGGCACGTTAGCCAAAAAAAAAAAATCGTGCGTAAACAAAATTGTAAAAAAATGAAAAACAAATAAACAAACATTAACAAAGCCCCACAACCTTACAGAACTTATCTCATTACAGTTTTAGAGCCATTTGGTGTATATCAATATCGTGTAAGTTTGTAAGACGTAAAAAGCAGTTGTAATTGGTCAGGTGACATAAGAACGTTCATATCATATAAGCAACAAATTTATTTTGGACTAGAGCTAAAAAAAAACACATTCGAAAGATTTTTTTAAAACTTGCGCGCCTTATGGAATAACTCAAACAGCTGCAACAGCTGTTAAGAATCAGTGTTGGTAACGCGCACTAAATATTGAAGCCAGAACGGTATATCGATAATAAATTAGACAGAAATTGCAAAGCAAAATATATATATATTTTTTTTATTAATACAAAAAGTGAAACCAGCAAAGCATTTGACAAAATTTACTAATTCTTAATCAACTTATAATGTATATATAATTATAATTTAATCTCAATAATGAAACAGCTGCAACAGCTGTTAAGAATCAGTGTTGGTAACGCGCACTAAATATTGAAGCCAGAACGGTATATCGATAATAAATTAGACAGAAATTG